AAAAAAAAAAAAAAAAAAAAAAAAAACCCTGCTCTACGAAGTATTGCAAATGGGTTGAAAACAACGAAAAGGACATGTGGCACAGGTAGGGGCGGGGAGGGGAGGTTATAGCGAGTACATGTTAACAACCAAGATGAGGGGGAGGAGGGTGAAGACGTGGAGGAGCAGCGGGAAGAGGGCAAAGACGTGGGCGAGGAGGAGTGGGAGGAGGATGAAGACGAGGAACATGACGACAAAGCTCCGGAAAAAAAAAGGAAAAAGGGTGCCACGTGGCATGAGCAGGGAAGGGAGCGGGGGAGGTTATAGCAAGTACATGTCGATGACCAAGACGAGGAGGAGGAGGAGCGGGAGGAGGACGCAGACATGGAGAAGGAGGAGGCGGATGGAGGAGCAAAAAGGAGGAAGACCATGACAACAAAACGACGAGAGAGAGAGAGAGAGAGAGAGAGAGAGAGAGAGAGAGAGAGAGAGAGAGAGAGAGAGAGCTGCTTGCACTGCTCCTTGCTGGGCTCCTCGCGCGGCCTTCGCTGCACCCACTGCCAGCCCTCCTGCGTCTGCTCCTTGCCTGCTATGGCCGCCTCGTTGCCCTGCTTCTTCCTCCCTCTAACAATCGCCGTAGTGGCGGGCATGCAAGATCGGACGTTGTTGTGGGAGGGGGGGCGGCGGAACTCGCAAGGTGGGAGGATGAATTCAAAGATTGTGCCCACTACGAAGCCGCCACGATGCAAGGACGACATTCAAACGGGCAGAAACATAGAAGGAATAAAACTTCCCACAGGCAATTTTTTTTTTTTTGGCCCTACCGGATGCCCCTTCAGGGCCAAAAACAATCCGCTCGTACTTTTGGTTGGCGGCCCTGGGCAAGACGAAACGCCCTGGACAGCGGAAAAAAAAATTGGTCGTTGGCCAAAGGGTCTGGAATCCGGACCGGGATCCGGACACGTTCACCGGACACCGGATACCAGACAGTCCGGATCCGGATCCCGGAGGTCCGGATCGCTGCTATGGTAAAAACTTGTTCTAAATGGTTTTGTTTATGACAGTCTTCATGTTATTGTATACAATGTATACACCCTGATACATTTCGACTATCATTTTGGTGTTGAATATTATGTTGATACAAAAACACGCAAATATCATTGAAATATTTGTACAACGGTTGCAGGTTACTCGAGGATATATCCAGGATATAGCTAGGCTTATTTTTTCCATTTGCCCACAGGCTGTATATTCATTTTGTATGGTACTGTTGTCAATACGGTCCAGTCCAGTCTGTCCATTGGGGTATACCCCAGCTGCAGTCTGTACGATCATGCATTCTTGAGTGTTGAGTTTTGTAGTACACGTAATGTGCGTCCTTGGTGGTGCTCTTGCTCTCTCTCTCCATCTCCACCTCCATCTCCACCTTCTTCCTCCTCATTTCACTTTTCCACGGTCGCAGGTCTGCCAACCCGGCAGTCTCGCTTCAATAGATAAGGCATCTGACTGGTGATGGTAATAAACTTGTTGATGAAGTTCAAATCATCCCAGAGTATGTGCGTTGTAGGTGAGTGCTAGTGTTTGTTGGAGTTCAACATTGTTGTAGAGTGGATTGTAGTTTAGAGATTAGATTATCACATTTTAAACATACGAAGAGTCCGAGTTAGAATATGACTGAGAACGTCACGCTTCTTTCGCGAGGCCCTAAAAAAACAAAATTGATAGGTGGATCGTAGAGGATCCTTAGTACCCGCAATGTAATAATCCCGAAGTGAAGATTGATTTTCCCACAATTCTTTTCATGTTTGCCTTTGGGTTCTCTTTAGTCACGAAGTGGAACCAGCTAAACTTTATAAGCAACTTGTCTAAAATTGATCTTAGATTTCAGGCATTATATAGTGGACTCCTTCCTGAGCCTTTGAGAAAAAATTTTGTTCCATTTGTTGACATAAGACTGCTTGCACGGTTTGTTTATTTATGTATGCCCTCATCCAC